ACTAAACTCTCGGAATTCCATTCCGACCCTCGGATCAAAATCTCACCTATTGACCGAAATTCGCAAAAATTCTAACTTTGCCAATTCAAGCCTAATTCTACTCCGGACCTCCAAAATCACTTTTGATCACACTCCTATGTCACAAATCATCCCCCGAAGCTAAGCGAATCATCGGAATTCATATCCGAGCCCTCTAACACAAAAGTCAATGTCCGGTTGACTTTTCCAAAACAAACCTTCCTTAAAGAGACTAAGTGTCTCATTTCCTTCTAGAACTAATCCAAATCAACTCTAACACATCAAATACTGATAATGAAGCATAAAGAAATAGAAAAATGGGGAAAACGGGGCGGTAACACACGTGACGACGGGTTGGGTCGTCACACCCTGACATAGCCCACCTTGTCTCGCCACGTGTGCAAATAATAACATAATGAGTGCCCGCTTTGTTTCGCCACACGTGCATCATAATGTTCGCACCTTGTCTCGCCACATGCGCAACCCACATATAAGCATATATATATATACATACCCTGCCTTGTCACGCCGCATGTGCAATATATCAATAGTAGCAATAGCACGGCAGAAACCTCGTGCAACCCCATAACAACAGCCGCACGGCAAAAACCTCATGCATCACAATATCAACAACCGCACGGCAGAAACCTCGTGCACCACCACAATAAGTACAACAGCAACAATGAAAATATATACAAGAATACGACAAGTAAATCAACTCAAGAACTTTCGATCATAAGGAGATGGTAAAACTAGCTCACAAGGAATAACCACAATAGAGAATACTAAGCGTGATAAGAACAACTTAACAAGGAAGAAAATAATATGAAGCAACGATCCCACAATATGTAATTCAACAACAAGGAAGCTAACACGAATCAAATAATTCCAAATAAGGAAATGTCCACTAAATATAGATTACCTAAACTTCTTTTAAGGTTGGGCAATTTACGAAGAATATACAATAATTTCCACTAAGGATGAGCAGCGGGAAGATAATAATCACCTCAATCAAGACTAAATAATTACAGGGGAGATAATAATGATTTCTAATATAGACAAGCAGTTATGAAAGATGGCATGACAGTAGAAGAGGTAAAAATCTTCAGTTAAGCAAAATAAGAGTCAAATAGGATATAAGAATGAATCATGAGCACTTAATTCCAATTAGATCATGTAGAGGTGAAACTAGTAAGAGGAAAACTCAAGCATATCAAGTACACATTCTTACACAGTGAATATAAGGACCTAAGAATCCTAAAAGGCCAATTTTTCCACAAATAAGTCCGAGCACGCGCTCTCACCTCGCGTACACAAACTTCAATCAACACAGCAGACTCAAATCCTAAGGGAAAGTCCCCCACACAAGGTTAGGCAAGATACTTACCTCGAACTGGCTCAAAATCAACCCGAAACCAGGTTCTTGCCACGAGTACTCAACTCCAAATGGACCAAACCTATTCAATTCAATTGCATAATGTAAATAACACTTCAAGTAACTAATTCTACAAACAAATTCTAAGCTAATACGCGAAATTTAGTAAAATGACCAAAACTCCCCTCGAGCCCACGCTGCGGAATCGGGAAATATTCACATTTTCAGAACCCTCGTACTCTCACGAGTCTATACATATCAAGAACACTGAAATCAGAGTTCAATTGACCTCTCAAATACCCATTTTAAGGTCTCTTAATCTCAAGCCCTAATTACCCATTTTGCACTGATTTTTCCCTAATTTTTCACCATTAATTAGACCTTTAATCACATATAAACGAGTTATGATGTCAAGAATATTACCTTCGGGACCTCAACCAAATATGTCAACCAATCCTAAAACATCATTCAAAGTTGTTCTAACCTTCGGAACGCTCAAAACAACATCAAAACATCAATTTTTCATCGGATTCAAGCCTAAGAATTCCAAGAACTCTCAAATTACGCTTTCGATCAAAAAGTCTATCAAACCTCGTCCGAATAACCTGAAATTTTGCACACACGTCACATTAAACACTATGGAGCTACTCCAACTTCCGGAATTCCATTCCGACCCCGATATCAAAATCTCACTATCGAATCGAAAACTTCAAAAATTCAACTTTCGGCATTTCAAGCCTAAATTAGCTACGGACCTCCAAAAAATAATCCGAACGCACGCCTACGTCTAAAATCACTATACAAAGCTGTTGAGATCACCCAAAACCAATTCCGGGGCCGTTTACTCAAAAGTCCAACTCCGGTCAAATTCTCACCGTTCAAACTTCCAAAACTAGATTCCTTCTTGCAATTTGATTCTGAATCATTCGTTAACTGAATTCAACCATGCACGCAAGTCGATACTCATATTATGAAGAAAATCCAGACCTTACGCTGCCGAACAGAGCTTAATTTCTCAAAACAACCTGCCGGGTCGTTACACACATCCTTTGGTATCTTTTTAGTTTGTTATTGCAAAATGAGATGAAGAGGGTTATATATTGTGGCTGCAAATAGGGGTGGCTCAAGGGGGGGGGGGGGCTAAATTTTGGAGCCCAAATATGAAAACACCGAATGCTATACATCATTTTAGGCCGATAAGCTTATGCTCCGCTTTGTATAAGACGACGATAACAACAACAACAACAACAATAATAAACCCAGTGTAATCTCACAAATGAGGTCTGGGAAGGGTAGTGTGTACGCAGACCTTACCCCTAACTTATGAAGATAAAGAGGATGTTTTCGATAGATCCTTGACTCAAGGAACGGTGAAACTAAAGCAACAAACAATTGCAACAAAGTAACAGGGTAACCGAAGAGAATAATACAACATGTACTAATAGGTGACATGGAATAAGAAAACCGCTTTGTATAAGATCAATGCCAAAATTCTTTGGGCTTGCATTAAACTTTTGATGCCTTTGATTATCTCTCCAAACCAGTTAGCTTTTGTTGTGAATAAGGGTGGCAAGTGGGCCGGTTAGGCCCGGGACCGGCCCAGGCCCACGAGCCCATATTGGTAGTGGGCCTAAACGGTCCTACCCGTTTAAGCCTGTCACAAAAGAGACATACAGGCTCATGTGGGCCGGTTCACACGCAAAGCCCGTTAGGATCGGGACCGTTTGGGCTCGGGACCGGCTCCTAAGTGGGCCGGTTCAACCGGTCCCAAACGGTCCTAAACAGGCCCAACGGCTAACTTTATTTTTTTTTTCTCAAATCAAAATCTGACCGTTGCACCTTTAAAATTTAGCCGTTATGGCTGCCAAAATAGCCATTTAAACCCCCCCTGCCCCCAACTTTGTTTTAACCCCAAACTTTTTATAATTATATTTTTTTCCCTATTTTAATACCCCCTCATTCTTTTATTTTTCTTCACCAAATCATCAATCTCTCTCAATTTCTCTCTAATTTTTTTTCTAAAATTGGTTACTTTGTTATTGCAACTTGTGTGAAAAATTATGAAGTTGGTGAATTGAAGTATTCAAGTCTTCAATAATAATTAATTTTAACAAGTTGTTCGTCAATTCGGTAAACTCGTTCCAACTCTTTAGTTTTAATATTATAGTTTTATTTATTTTATTTAATTCCTTTGTATAATTATAATTAAGATGGCCTATTACTTAAAAAAAAATGTTTAGTAAAAATAAGGGGAAATCCAAGAGTGGTGAATCTAGTGACCAATCTATTCCTCCTCTAATTCCCCAGCCTCCCCTACCCAAACCCCATACCCGCCCTCCACCTGCTCCTATTCTTGATAGTGATAATAGTTTATTACAATTTACGGAGAATCAATATGTGCATAATGTTAGAGGTGGTGAAAACTTAGATCATGAAAATATGAATTCTCTTTATGGTAATCCAACTATTGATGAAGAAGATGAGCAGGAAATAGATTTAGATGAAACGCAACTGGATGATGATGCACCCACTAGTCTTGTTACTCAAGTTAACCCAACTAATCCAAATGATGCCCCGGTTGACCCCCCTGTTACTACCCCTACTTTTTCTAGACAACCTTCTAAACGGGACGAAACATCTCTTGTTTGGCCATTTTGTATTCAAATAAGAGAAAGAAATAAAGCTAAGTGTAAAACTTGTGTCAAAGAGATGGCTTTTCTGGATTATCCTACTATTTCGAACTGTTTAGTTTATCTTGCAGATCTTGCAAATTTGTTTCTTATTTTTCAGAGAATGGGGAAATTTATGAAGTAGCTATTGATTCTATCAGAAAGAAATTTTAAAAATATATTTTCCCTATTCCCCATATTTAGGATATTGCTGCCTTGTTAAATCCTACTATGAAATTAGGTGGTCCTCAATATTGGTATCGATCTATTTATAATGGTTTAGCACTTGCACCTGAGGAGTTGTCTACACTTTCGGACGCACAAGCCTCAATTAAAATAAATGCCCTAACTATTTATAGTGCTTATCAAATTGCACTAGATAATGCTAGACCAGATATTCTAACTCGTTCTTTTTCTAGTACTCAATCATCTATTTTGCTACAACAGAGACCGGTCCAGCATAATATACTGGAGTTCGGTGCACCTGTGTATGAACTTCCAGCATATTATGGTGGAACTCCAACACACAGAGAGTTCCAGCATAATATACTGGAGATTCGAGCACTTGTGTATGAACTTCCAGCATATTATACTGGACCATTATACTTTGCTGGAACTCCAGTATATTATGCTGGAGTTCTAGTGTACTTATGCTGGAACTCAATCATATTATGCTGGAGTTCCAGCATACTTATCCTGGAACTCCAGTATAATATGCTGGCGTATTTTCCGGGTTTTGAACAGTGTTTTCGCTCAGATTTATCTTTACATGAAAAGTGGCTAAAATTCGATTACATTTGAAACTGAGCTATTTTTGAACGACCACTTGTAAATCTGGCTATTTTTGAATTTCTCCCAAATTTGTGTTATGTTATGTGTCACTTCTGCCACATTTTCTTTTAACCTTAATAGAGAGATTGTAGGATTCGTGCGACCATCTAGATGATTGAGACAAATTGATACACTTCACCTTTCCTGTTTCTGATTTGTGTGGAAGGACTATCAGCGTTGCTTACGTCAGCTGACGAACGTGAGCAATTGAAAGGAATAAGGCTAGGAAGTGCTGGTCCATCTATTTTTTTTGGTAACTAACAATTTCATTAATCACCAATAGAACATTTACAATTCCATAGTCGGCTTATAACTCAGAAGCTATATCTTACAGAAAAACCCAAACCTACATAACTGTTTCTAAGAAAACATAAAATGCTGCACTAAACTACTAATCCTAGTAGTGGCTCTCACATTACAGATGTAGGCTACCTCTTGTGCAATACTATCAACTCCTCTGCTTCTCTTTTCAAATATTTTCATGTTCCTTTCGATCCACATGACATGAGTTATCTCAGCATATACCATCTTATATAATTGAGCTCCACGAGACCTGCCTTTAGCACATTGTATCACCCACTGCACATGTTGATCCCAGTAGTCTCTAACTACATCTTGTCTTTGCATCCAATGAAGAATTTTCTGCCATACTGCCTTTGGAAATTGACATTCCACAAACAAATGTTCCTCAGTTTCATCATGGTTTTGACATAAACAGCACCTTGAATCCACAGTTATACCCCATTGCATCAGTTTATCAGCTGTTAATAATCTTCCATGCAATTGCAGCCACATTGTGAATATAGCCTTTGGTCTAGCCTTGTTTTTGAACATCAGACATTTCTAAGCAACTCTTGGTCTATTTCCCAGTAGCTGGAAGTAAAACTGGCTGATCACACTCTTTTTAAGATGGTGCTTGTGTTGCACTTGCTGCAGAGTTGTTTTAGCATTTAGAATCTGCCTAACCATCCAGCTTGCTTGTAGAGGGATTGCCATCCCTTCTAGATGCTTATCTTTTATATAAAAAGCATGAATCCATCTGATCCATAAACGATCCTATTTCTGTGCTACATCCCAGCAAAGTTTTGCTATTGCAGCCTTGTTCCACAATTGCAAGTTAATCAAGCCTAGCCCCCACTTGATTTAGGTGTACACATTTTGTTCCATGCTACTAGAGCCTTTTTTGTGATGATATTTCCTCCATAGCAAATATAGCTCATGTAATAAGACTCAATCATTTTCAAGACTTTTGTAGGAAAATTGAACACTTATGACCAGTAAGACTGAATGCCAAACAAGACAGTTTGAACCAGTTGAACTCTTCAGCATATAACGGTTTCTTTGCTATCCATGAAGAGATATTTGAAACTATCTTCTCTACCAAAGGATACCATTGTATCAAAGAGAGATTCTTGGTAGCAAGAGGGATACCAAGATATTTGAAAGGTAGTTCTCCAACTGTGAAGTGCAACTTCTGTATAATCTCCACTCTGACATTCTAAGGAACTCCCCCAAAGTACACTGAGCTCTTCCTCAAATTGGCTTGTAATCCAGAAACATGAGAGAAATGATTGAAACATCCATGAATATGAGAGATAGAAGATAAAACACCTCTAGCAAACAGTAGAAGATCAACTGCATAGCTGAGGTGTGTGATTCCTAGCTTTGCACATCTTGGATGGAATCTGAAACCTTTTACCTCTTTTTGTTTATTAAGGTTTCTACTAAGATAGTCCATTACTACTGCAAACAAGAAGGGGGGGATGGAGTCTCCTTGTCTCAGACCTTAAGCAGCATCAAAAGGTGGGGTGGGCTCTCATTAAGCATGATAGTGTAGTTAACTGTGGAAACACATTCCGTTATCCATGTCACAAACCTCATAGGGAATCCTAGCTCAATCATGACTTGCTCCAGAAAACTCTATTCAACTGAATCATAAGCTTTTTGAAGATCAATTTTAATCATGCATCTGTCAGATATGTTCCTCCTTGTGTAAGCTTTCACTAATTCATGTGCTAGTATGATGATATCAGCAATTCTCCTACCAGGAATGAAGCCAGCTTGTGCCTCACAGATGAAAGATGCAATAACTTGCTGAATTCTGGCTGCTAGCACTTTAGATATCAGCTTATAGAGCATGGTTGTAAAGCCCCAGAAAATTTTCCTAAGTAATTTAAGATTTTGTGTTGCCAAGGTAGACTAATTATTTTATCTTGTGTGCAAATGAGGATTCATGATATAATGGGTATCAATTGGATATGTGAATAAGCGTATAAGTTATATTATAAGTGATTTGGGGTGTAAGGAGAGGCCTAAGTCTAAGCCAAGTCGGAAAATTTCATAATAGACTAAAGTTGTAGATGAGTACACACAAGAACTCAATTTGGACAAGCATATCTCCTTATATATAAGGTTTTGTGCGATGTACAACCTTTCAAATTAAAGCTCTTTGAGTCTAGTTTCCAACGCGTCAAACCGTTCGTCATTTGGAGGTGCATACAGAAAGTTATGGTCATTTTACCGGACCTATGTCAGACGCGCGTCCGCGGCGCGACCGCGGGAAAACTGGGTGTTTCTGCATCCAAACGCGGCGCGAGCGCGGTACGAGCACGGCCACCGCGTCTTGGGTGCGGTTTGACCGCGGTCGCGCGCCTAGCAGCCCTATAAATAACCCAAGACCGGGTATGGAGAGTCTCTAAGTCATTTTTTGAGCTAGGGCTTGCTCTATCAAGGGGAATCCGTCCCATACTTCCCTCCTATGATCCAAGGTAATGTTTTTGGAGTATTTTTAGTTGATTACTACTCCTATACACTTATATTAACAAGGATTGATCTTGAAAATCCATAGATTCCCATTCAAATCCCTAAATTGATCAAGAACACTACAAGTGGGTATTCTCAAGATTCTTACTACAAGAGGTATGTCTATCACCTCTAACTACTCTATGGTAATTATTTAAGTATGATATATACGTTAGAACTCATGGGATGGTGATTGGAAGACATAGGTGCCTAACCTAGATTGTGTTGGTGTTGTAGAGATGGTGAGATGGGTTATTGGGGTATGATTCTTGGGTGTAATAGTATTATGTATACATGCATGTACAATTAGGTGTGGAAGATTGTGAC